TACTGATTGTTGGTCCCCGGCAGCGGCGCCAAAAATTTGATGCATCCGCAAGTTCACAGAAATATCGAAGTAATATAAAAGATTGTCGAACCCACAGAGACCAATTTCAACCTACCGTTATCTATTGATGCGATGTAAATATAAGGCTAAAGATTACTTGGTTTAAACGAAATTAAAATGAAAACTAAAATGAAACTTAGAAAATATAACAACAAAGAGAGGTAAGAATATGGATTTCGTGTTCCTAAGGGACTCTGTAGATTTTAGGCACTAAATTATAATTAAACTACACTCCATAGAAAATATCAATGTAAAGACTCTATCTCACATTCTCGAGCTATTGACTAAAGCCACACTCCCTAACCACAGGATTTTGCTCTCGCTCTTCCGTTTTAATTAGAAAGCATATTTTGAAAACCAATTAGATCTTAATCGATACCTAAAACGCTCTCGCTGTTTTTAGGATCGATGCCTAGTTTCCACTATCCGGTTCAATCCTCACACTCTCGCGCTATCGACTCGAACCTTAGTTTGTTCCTCATTCTCATGAAAAAAAACAATAAGACTTACAATTAGAAAGTAAAACCAAAACATAATTTATTTAATGTTTCGCGCCTATTATTCTCTACCGAGTCCCATTGGTAACGACAATCCTCATATGCCGGACTCTGACAAGTTTATCTAGACACGGTTGCGGAAACAAATAAACAATTTTAGGTTTTTGAATTAACTAAAGTCATAATGAGTGGTTTAAAATATTTTAAAGTGATGTTTGCAGAAAAAAGTAGAAGCTTGAAACAGTAACAATGGAAGAAAAATAAAGCGTAAAAGTAAATGACAGAAATTAAAGGCAAGAAAATAAATACGATGAATGTAAATGAACCTGAAATAAAAACTGAAATTAAATTGAAGGAAATATTGATCCAAGCATTACATAGATTGCAGGCCTAAACACTAATGTTGGAGTAGTTTCTCGATGTGAGAAAACTCTCCCTTTTACAATTGTGATTTCTGCCTAATACTACGAACAGCGCTTCCGCGCACAAAACTTAGATGCCGAAATTATGAATCCATGGTCTATTTATAGGAGGAAATCCATGCACCAACTTCCATGGGTCATGTGTGAGAAGTGGAGGAGGTGGGAGAAAACTTCCAAGTAGTGCTATTAGTGGGTGGTTATATTTCTGAACTATAGGAAAATGGCGAACGCCATTAGGGCAATGACGCTTCTTCATTAAATGATGTGGCTGGCAAGGGCAATGGCGAACACCATTTGCTCAAGGCGAACGCCATATCAGTAATTGGGCAGAATTTTCCCTTTTTCTTCATTTTCTTGTTCTTTTCCCAGTTTTCTCGCACGGGCACTCTTATTCGACAAATACCTGAAATACAAACATAATACGACATAATAATTCGAAAAACAAGTCAAGCGACATTAAATTGCATGTGAACCGAGTCGAAATAAACGATACATTTTCACGTCATCACATGGAAAAACTTGTGGCATAATAATTTGTCCCACTACTTCAGGCGGACTCCTAATCATATGTACATGTCCTAATTGAAGGTTGACTTGTTTTAAGATATCACTCTCTTATGGTTTTCCACAGGGTTAGTCTTGGTAAAAGTACTAGACTGGGAATTTAAAAAATGAAAGGTACTTGATATATATCATTTGATTAAATTTGTAAAGGTTCTATCGTTGTAACAATTAGACAAACTTGGATTTAATTCCCGCCCGACCTTGCTTCTCTTAAATTCTTTGAATGGTGGAAGTGGCAAAAAAATTTCACTTGATTTGGTGTGTTTGTCTTTTAACTTTATGACTTTTTGAACTTCGTTGTGATCAATGGAGTTAACAATGTCAAAAAGTTATTGAAAGACATGATATAATGTGTCATGCATCTATATATCAATTTATTATATGATAAAAGGCGTGGTCATTACCTTGGTGGTTCACGTGGATCAACTGAAGTATTGTCATAATCATTGAAAGATATATATACAAATGCTATATTTATAAATAAAAATAATATTCAACTTTTTTTTTGCGTGTAATTCTTTTCATACTTAATGTAAAAAGAATTTGTGAAATTTGGAAAAAGAAAAAGAAAGTACCTAAAAACATTATTTAAAAATTTTGTAGAAGGAAATTTATAATAAAAGAAAAAAAAGTTATTGGGGTTAAGACATCATTAATCTTTTGTCTTTATTCTCCGTATCATCAAATTAATAGTAAATTGAATATTTATTTCCACAAATCCAACCATTTGGTCAGATGATTAAATGGAAAGTATCAATTACATGTTTGATTAGCCATTTCATTGGAACTTCATTACACAATCCGATCAAATGGCTAATAATAGATAAGAATAAGTTGTTCCAATAATTAAGTGTAACCAACCATTCCTATTATTATGCATATGAGTTGGTATAGTTTGAATTATTCATTGATTAATACTAGGAATCACCAATAGGGTTTACTTAGGATTAGGAATTAGTTATACACTCAAGTATTATTTGTATCTATAAATACTCAGCACTTATGAACCGACGCCCACTATGTCATCACCAGCCGACAAACTGATTGTCTTGAATGCTGGTTTTCAACTCTCCATTAAACGTGATTCAATTCATGGCTCTTTTAACAGGCTATGATCTTCTAGGTTATATTGATGGAACTAATCCTTGTCCATCAAAACAGCTCGCAAACGATACCAAACATTCGCATTGATGGAACTAAGCCTTGTCCATCAAAACAGCTCGCAAACGATACCAAACATTCGCACCAGTTGTGAAACCTTAAAGTGGTTCTCACTTTAGCACTTTCTCAAGGATGGTCCTTACACCAAATGGGTGTTAATAATGCCTTTTTGCAGGGAAAACTGAAGATGTCTACATGCAACAGCCACCCGGGTTTATTCATTCTGAATTTCCTCAACATGTATGTAAACTCAAGAAGGCTATCTATGGCTTACGACAAGCCCCTCGAGCATCATTTGCGAGTTGTGCTGTTTTGATGGACAAGGCTTAGTTCCATCAATATAACCTAGAAGATCATAGCCTGTTAAAAGAGCCATGAATTGAATTCTCCAGGCGGCTGGTGATGACATAGTGGGTGTCGGTTCAGGTTCATAAGGCATAACACGGATCGGAAAAAAAATTGCTTTTAAGCTTTACGCTCTGAATACCATAAAGGGAATGATTCTTTTATATATTATGAATGATTCTTTTATATATTATTCCAGCCTGTTAAAAGAGCCATGAATTGAATCAAGTTTAATGGAGAGTTGAAAACTGATTGTCGGCTGGTGATGACATAGTGGGCGTCGGTTCATAAGTGCTGAGTATTTATAGATACAAATAATACTTGAGTGTATAACTAATTCCTAATCCTAAGGAAAAATAATACTTGAGTGTATAACTAATTCCTAATCCTAAGGAAACCGTATTGGTGATTCCTAGTATTAAGCAATGAATAATTCAAACTATAGCAACTCATATGCATAGTAATAAGAATGGTTGGTTACACTTAATTATTGGAACAACTTATTCTTATCTATTATTAATGGCAACGTGTTTACTTTCTTTGCACTTAAATTCTAACTATTATATTAGAGCAACTATTCCCGGTTTTAAATTATTTATATTAATTGAATATAACTATTCTATCAGAATATTTGTTCTTTATATGATCGATCTAAGAAAGTAAAAAAAAACAAAAAAAAATGGCAGAATATATTCCATATATAATGGAAGAATGTGGAAAACAAGACAAACTTTTTTTAGAATGACACTGGAAACTTATGTCAAGGGATGTCGCGCAGCTTGGTAGTGCGTTTGTTTTGGGTACAAAATGTCACAGGTTTAAATCCTGTCATCCCTATTCCTAACGATTAGTTATCATATGAGCAGTAACAAGAGATCAATTTTGAGCGATTCAAATTGGACATAGATACTCAAGTTATATGAATAGTTCTCCATATTGAGTTTGTATGCATGCAATATGTATTGCCATTTCATAAAATTCTTTAGGAAAAGAAAGCGCTCTTAGTTCAGTTCGGTAGAACGCGGGTCTCCAAAACCCGATGTCGTAGGTTCAAATCCTACAGAGCGTGATACCATTCTTCTGAGATGGAGAATGAGACTAAAATAATGGGGTGTTAATTGGATCTCCTATCAATTAGGATTTAAAAAAATAGGAGGTCAATAAACAAAAGAGACAGTACTAAATCAAATATCCAACTGATCCTATTGTAAATAGGCCGTTACAAATAATCCAGCCAAAAAGGTCCTGGAATATGGGGATCCAAAAAGGTCTAGAGGGAAATTATGAGCATTACGTTCATGCATAACTTCCATACCAAGGTTAGCACGGTTAATAATATCAGCCCAGGTATTAATTACACGACCTTGAATATCAACTATAGATTGGTTAAAATTGAAACCATTTAAATTGAAAGCCATAGTGCTGATACCTAACGCGGTAAACCAGATACCTACTACAGGCCAAGCAGCTAGGAAGAAATGTAAAGAGCGAGAATTGTTGAAACTAGCATATTGGAAGATCAATCGGCCAAAATAATCGTGAGCAGCTACAATATTATAGGTTTCTTCCTCTTGACCGAGTCTGTAACCTTCATTAGCAGATTCATTTTCTGTGGTTTCCCTGATCAAACTAGAAGTTACCAAGGAACCGTGCATAGCACTGAGTAGGGAGCCGCCGAATACACCAGCTATACCTAACATGTGAAATGGGTGCATAAGAATATTATGCTCAGCCTGAAATACAATCATAAAGTTGAAAGTACCAGAGATTCCGAGAGGCATACCATCTGAAAAGCTTCCTTGACCAATTGGGTAAATCAAGAAAACTGCAATAGCAGCTGCAACGGGAGCTGAATATGCAACAGCAATCCAAGGGCGCATACCCAGACGAAAACTAAGTTCCCACTCACGACCCATGTAACAAGCTACACCAAGTAAGAAGTGTAAAACAATTAGTTCATAAGGACCGCCATTGTATAACCATTCATCAACGGATACAGCTTCCCATATCGGGTAAAAGTGCAAACCGATAGTCGCAGAAGTAGGAATAATGGCACCAGAAATAATATTGTTTCCGTAAAGTAGGCAGCAATGAAAGCGATAATAAATAAAGAAGTTGCGGTCAATAAGGTAGGGATCATCAAAACACCAAACCATCCAATGTAAAGACGGTTTTCAGTGTTGGTTATCCAGTTACAGAAGCGACCCCATAGGTTTTCGCTATCGCGTCTCTCTAAAATTGCAGTCATGGTAAAATCTTGGGTTTATTGAAATTGAATTATCAAGGACTCCCAAGCACACAAATTCTCTATAACTATAGACTGAAGGGCTTGTTATAAAACTGTATAACATGACTTATATACGGGTGTCAACCAATACCAATATCCATTGTATTCTGTTATTGATCTAGATTCAAACAAATTTTCTTTTTTTACCTCATTTCACCATCCATTCAAACAAAAAAAAAGGTTTTCTATATTCTCTAGATATGACTTCGCTGTGATATGTAATAGTTATATATTAATTCGAATTTATCTATTAATTAAAATAGGTTGCCCGAGACTCGAAACCGGAACTAGTCAGATGAAGTAGAAAATTCCTTGTTGAATCAAATAAAACAATAAAAAATACTTCCCCAAGCCGTGCTTGCATCTTTCATTCCACACGGCTTTCCGTATGTATACATCTAAACCTGAGTTCCTTCTCCAGAAGAGTCATAACATAACCAATCATTCATCATGGACCAGATCGTTACTGAAAAGAATATCCAAATACCAAATCCGATTTCTATGTAACCTCTGCAAAGTAGAGGAATCTCTTGGAAAAATCAAAGAAAGAATCTCTTTTTTCCTCGGTAAACAATTCTTTGCAATAATTCTTCTTAACCTCATCTTTTCAAAAAAGGGCCTACAATACTTTTGTGTTTACAAGTCAAAGTTTTAATACAAGAAAGCCGAAGTATATATTTTATTAGATACAAACTTTTTTTTTTAAGGAACCATTATAATAATAAGAAAGATTTCTACAAATTCGCAAAAATCGATCAATAATATCAAAATCGGATAATGGGTTTATATTGATCATTCTTGGTTGAGACCAAACATAAAAAAAAACATTGCCATAAAATAGTGTTTCTATTTATTTATCTAAAAAGGCGCATTCTTGAAAGCCAGAATGCATTTTCCTAACTATTATATTAGAGTGTTGGATAAAGAATTCTGAAATATTTCAACTCTAGGTGATGGATGTTATGGGATGGTGGTCTAGTGTTTGATATCTTTAAAATAACTATTATTTAAACTACTATTTTAAAAAGAAATGAAACATTGTAATAACTTAATTGAAGAGAATTTATTAAAAATATATAAAAAGATTCAAATCAGCCGACCCAGAATGAGAAAGAATGAGAGTGGTGATTTATATTTGAATAAACTGATTTGAAAGATTTTTATACATACAGTTAAAAACCCTTCCAATCACTTTATTAAGGAAACAACAAAGATATTACATGGAATACACAATCCATAAATAAAATTTAATTTTAGGAAAACACAATCCATTGATTCAGTCCCTAATAAAAGATATTTTTAGGAAAATCGATTGTTTAATATATATGAATAAAAATAAAGAAAATGTTTGTCTGTAGGCAACGTTAGACACAAGCTGCTATAGATCAATTCAATTTGCTTGAAAAATTACCTTTTTTTAAAAAATAAAATTGGTTCAATGTAAGAGAAAGATCTCCCTTTCTCAAATTAAAATCTAAAACAAAAAATAAATCCAAAAAGCTTGCAGAAATGAAAAAAATGCGAGAAATTAGGTAAGTAAATTTATTGACAGAAACTTAGTAAGATGTGTAAATCCTAAACAACAACCAATTTTTTCTAATAAAATGAACAACATCAAATTCACAATGTTATATTTATTCATCACACAAACAAAAAATCAAACACGTCATTCATAAAGAAAAGAGAAAAAAAAAATCTTTTACTCTCTCACATTTTCTCCGTGAGCTCTTTCAATTGTATGCTCTACCTACTTGAATTCTTAATCTTCTCCAAAATTTAAAATCTATTTCTAAAAAAAAAAAACAGTTAAATAAAATTTAATATTTTTTTAATAATACTTTTAATTTAAAATACAATTTTTTAACGAAAATAATAATAATTTTTTGGTTTACAGAAATCATAAGTTTTCAATTAAAATAAATTATAAAATATAAGTAAAAGTCTCTTTTATGGAACAAAATAATATTTTTTTTACGAGCAAAAATACATTATTAATTCAAATATTTGTATATAGATTCAAATATATAAATAATGTCCAAATAAAAATAATATTTATATACAGAAAAAATACATTGTTGATTAAATTATTAATATATACGAAAAAAATTTATTGTTATAAAGGAGAATAACTTTAATTGGTTAAATCATTGAATAATATAAATTTATTGATCATATTTTCAAATATGAAAAAAAATTAATAAAAAAATATTATTATTATAAACGGAAATAACTTTATTATATTTTGGAAACAAATGTGCATACTAACTATAGAAAACAAATTTTAATCAAATCATAACTTATCTTTTTTTTTAAATAGGAAAATAAAACAATTAAAATAGGCACATGAAATTATTCATCAAAATATTCAATAATAATGAAAAAAATTACTATTGGTTTTAATATTTTTGTAAATAATCTCAAAATATATATATATATATATATATATATATATATATATATATATATATATATATATATATATATATATATATATATATATATATATATATATATATATATATATATATATATATATATATATATATATATATATATATATATATATATATATATATATATATATATATATATTAAAATTTTCTAAATTATTTGGACCCATTTGTTGAAAACTTACTCAAATAATCAACTTTTTCAAATAAATATCTAACCTAATCCACTTTTCTATCTATTTTTCAAATTAACTCACTTTAAAAAAAATAAAAATTCAACAAAGAGCATGGACAGATTCAAAAAATTTAGTAAGTGGGGACAAAATCGTAAAAATTCTTTAATATGAATTCGGTTTATTGATAAATTTTTTATTTTTTAGTAAAATTTGAAAAAATATTATATTTATTTTTCATTTTTATTAAAAATGCATCTATTATTTTAAAATAGTAAGTTTTCACACTCAAACCATTTTTTAAAAGATACATATTAAACACATATAAAATTTATAATGTTATAAATATTATTTATAAAAATAAGACAATATATATATATATATATATATATATATATATATATATATATATATATATATATATATATATATATATATATATATATATATATATATATATATATATATATATATATATATATATATATATATATATATATATATATATATATATATATATATATATATATATATATATATATATATATGATTAAACAATAACATTACTTAGTGTTCCAAACAAAATTTATATTTAATGAGTTTAGAGATGTAAAAAAATTATTTATTAAACACATGCAAAAGTTTCATTATCAGTCAAACTTATTTATACTAGATTAATCTATTAATTTTGTAGTGTCAATATCTTAATTATTTAACTATTACTAAAGAAAAATACAAATATATTAATAACTATTATCACATTAGTGGAGTATTGTCCCCATTTTATTCTACTTACATCCGACTCCGGCAAAGAGAAATAATCAATCTAATTGAAAATAATGTCCAATTCAATAAAAATTGAATTGATGACTTTGGTTGAATATTTTTTTTAAAGTGGATAAAATTAAAAAATAAATAAATAAATGAATTAATTTAAATGTTTATTTAAAAAAATTGATTATTTAAGTAAATGATTCTCGTTTGTTAGTATTTTGATTTTAAAGAAATCGTGCATTGAATGAAAATTGAATGTGAGGTTAGAAAGAACATTGAAAAGGACCCCTCCTCACTTTATTCCTACGCATTGGTTGGTCAGCACCATCATCTCAATAGCATTGGATGCTGTTCTACACACCAACCAATAGATGCCATACTTTACTACACTAAATTCTAGATCGTTAAAATTTAGATACCAAAAAAAACCAAAAACAAAGTTTCATTCAAGTTTTTATTTTCTTACCATACAAGTTTTTCCTTTGACCAAAAGTTTATAGAATATTTTTTCTTACCTAAAAATCATCTCATCTCAAATATAGACCAGATTCATCTGTACTTTAATAAAATTAAAAAAAAAATCACATAAATTAAAATATTCATATGTGATTTTTGATATTTATATTTACACTCTGATATATAAATAAATCGGATAAGAATAATTATATTTATTTATTTTTTATATATTTTGACCAACGGACCAATAATAATAATAATAATAATAATACCGCGTACACGTGGACACGGACGTTACACGCACATGGGCATTACCGTAATTTCAGCCAAAATAACATTTATATTAATTCACGTTATATTTTATTCAAGTCTATAAATTCAATTGTTTCAGTAACCATATCACATAAGCAAAAGAAATTCATAGAAAAGAAAATGGCAGGAATCATCAACAAGATTGGGGAGACTCTTCACATCGGAGGACACAAGAAGGAAGATGAACACAAAGGAGAGAAGAGTCACGATGACAAGCACAAAGGTGAGCACAAGGAAGGTTTAGTTGAGAAGATCAAGGACAAGATCCATGGTGATGATGAACATAAAGAACACAAAGGAGAGAAAAGTCACGATGATAAGCACAAAGGTGAACACAAAGAAGGTGTAGTTGAGAAGATTAAGGACAAAATCCATGGTGGAAGTGATGAACATGGACACAAAGGTGAGAAAAAGGATAAGAAGAAGAAAGATAAGAAGAAGAAGGAACATGGTCATGGGCATGATCATGATAGTAGCAGCAGCAGTGACAGTGATTAGATCTAAGCTAATGTTGTTTTTTTTCTCTCTTTCTTTCTATGTTAATTAAGGTAATAATGTTTTTTTAATCACTTTTTATAATAATTTTCATTTTTCTCGTATTATTTTAATTTAAAATATATGGATTAATATATATGTTATTTTTTCTTTGTTTGCAGCGGTGTACGATACCGTATGGTGGGGAGGAACTGGAAATTCTTTCTTACTATGATGATGGAGGGATGGATCTAAGAATAATAATGTAGAGAGATGGAGAGAGAGAAATTTATGTGTATTTCTGTTTTTTATTTTTATTATTGACTTATTATGTGCTAATTGTAAAAGCTCACAGCTTTTTGGTTTGGATGTAGATTGGCATATATGAGAATAATTATGTTAATTATTAATAATTTCTTTCTTAAATATTAAAATAAGAACATAGCAGCGAACTCAGTATTTATAATGTAAACCACAGAAGATAAACAAAAGAGACGAATTTGATTATTTTCCATCTCTACAAGCCCAAGTTACACTAAAAATGTTATTCACACCTTAATCTTGCTCAGCCAAACAAGTCTTGGTATATGGATACTGGTGTTACTTGGCACATGACCTCTTGCAAGGTAATCTCTGGTCTTATTTTAAATTAAACAAAAATAATAAAAATAATAGTAAAAAATGGTCATTTAATTCCAATCCATAAATTGGTAGTACACCCATACTCTCCCCTCACTCTCATCTTATCCTAAAAATGTACTGCATGCTCCAAATTTAATTAAAAATTTAATATATGTTCTACATATAATAAAATTTTAATTAAATTTGACCCGTTTTTTTTGAAATATTTTCAGACGTGGATTACTTTAATGTGAATAGAGAGTAGAGATAATCATATATATTTTCATCACCACCAACACCACTTCTACAAATAAAGTTGAACCTACATCATTCTTTGTAGCTTTGTCATCTTCTCTTTGCCATGATTGTTTAGGTTACTCGGGCAAACAAGTTTTAAATTCTTTTAGAAAAAATAAATTGATTGTAATAATCCTAAAAAGCTACATTCTCGTTTTTTTAATTCTTGTCCTCTTGGTAAATATGTTGAATTTCCATTTTTGAATTCTCATAATTATAATTTGTGAGTAATGTATGGACATTTCCTATTTTAAACTTGTTAGATCACACGTACTTTGTTCTATTTTTGAATAATTACTCAAATTTTTTGTGGACATTTTCCATCTCACATAAATCTCAAGTATATTTATGTTTTCAAAAACTCCGAGCTTATATAAACCCATATTTTCCATGGTAAATAAAAACCATTCAATGTGATAATGGTCGTGAATATGTCAATAGTAATTTTTGAAAGATATGTAAAATTAATGAAATCTAATTTTGTTTTTCTTGCCCTTATACATCTTCTCAAAACAGTGAATTTGAATGAAAAGTACGTCCAATTAACAATATTATTCGAACACTATTAGTTCATGCATCATTACCCCCATATTTTTGTCATTATGCTCTAGAAACGACAACATATCTTCTGAATATTTTACCTAGAAAAACCATCAATTTTGAGTGACCTCTTAAAATGTTGTATAAAAGATACTCCTCTTATTCCCACTTATCCGTATTTGGGTGTTTATGTTATCCCTTTTTTCCATCCACCACAATTCATAAATTATAAACTCACTTTACACGACGTGTCTTTCTCGGGTACCCATCAAATCATAGAGGCTATAAATGTACAGATTTATCTTTGAATAAATTTATTATTTGTCGTCATGTTATATTTGACAAATTTTCATTTCCTTATGCAAATATTCATACCCCCAACCCAATACACACACCTTCCTAGACAATGACTTATCTCCTTACATCATATACCACATCTTAACTTAAAATCAACTTAACCAAAATCTAAGTCAACTGTATTATTTACTCCACATGTCCCCCCACTAACCTTGAACCAACCAGCAAGTCTCCCAAACCTAAGCCCATCATCTCAACCACAACTTCTCCTAAACCATGGCCAAACCAACCTTAGATGCCAGACATCTTTCCCCACCCCTAATACACCATCACACCCTCAACAAACCCACAAACAATTTATTTCTCTCATTTTTCAACCCTCTTTACCAACAAAAACCAAAATGGTTACTAGGAGTAAACATGGTATTTTTAAACTCAACCAAAAATATTATGGCCTACATACCAATGTTCCCAAATCCCCCATACCTAGAAACCTCGTCTGCACTCAAAGACCCAAATTGGAAAATGAAAATGGATTATGAATATAATCATCTAAGTAAAAATAAGATCTGTGATTTAATGTCACAACCACTGGATGTTAATGTTATTTGGTCTATGTAGATTTTTAGATTTAAAGAAAAATCTGGAGGTTCTTTTAAGAGGCATAAAACTTGACTTGTAGGTGATGGTGCAGGTCAACAAGTTGGCATTGACTGTGGGTAAACCTTTAGCCTAATTATCAAACTGGATACAATTTGCACAATTCTTAGTATTGCTCCCTCTAAGTCTTGGCAAATTCATCAATTGGATGTCAAGAATACCTTTTTACATGGAGAATTCAAATAAATTGTCTACATGTATCAACCATTAGGATTTAAGGATTAGAAAATCCTAGTCGTGTGTGTCGTCTGTGTAAATCACTATATGGGCTCAAACAAGCTCCTCAAGCTTGGTACAAGCAATTTGCCAACTATGTTTCATTTATTAATTTTTTCTCAAAGAAAGTGTGATCACTCCATTTTCATCTACAAGAAAGTTACTCACATGGCCCGCATCCTACTTTATGTTAATGATATTATCCTTACCATATCTTCTAATGTTTTGCGATAATCTATCATTTCACTTCTCAATACCTAATTTGATATGAAAGATTTGGGAAATCTGAGCTGCTCCTTGGGTATTACAGCCACTCACCACTAAAAAGGTTTATTTCTCTCACATAAAATTATGCCAAAGATATTCCAACATGCGCTGAAATGTCTTCTTAAAAATCGTGTCCAACCACATTCAATACAAAACCAGAGATGAGTGCCAAACATAACACTCCATATGAGGATCCCTCTCTCTATTGTAGCCTTGATGGTGACCTTTATTGCGTAGCTTTTACTCCACCATACATTTCATATGTGGTACAATAGATATTTCTTTTCATGCACAACCCAATGGAAGACCACATGCAAGATCTCTGAAGTATATTGCGCTATTTTCAGGGAACACAAAATTATGGTTTACATATTTATCCTTAATCTACTACCTCTTTAATTTCATATATAGATATATGTCTATTGAGGAGGATGCCCTGATACTTGAAGACCTACATCTGATTATTGTGTGTTTCTCGATGATAACACTTTCTCTTGGTCATCAAAACGACAATCCATGTTATCTCGCTTTAGTGTTGAAACCTAACAGTATGGTGTTGTCAATGTGGTATATTAATCCTATTGGTTGCACAACCTTTTTCTTGAGTTATATTGTCCCATTCACAAGGCCATAATGGTTTACTATGACAACATCGATGCAATCTATCTCTCTGGTAACCCAATTCAATATCATCAATAAACGAAACACATCGAGATGGATATTTGTTTCGTTCACAAAAAGGTAGCTTGAGGTCATGTCTGTGTTCTTCACATCCCATCACGATATCAAATTGTGGATGTTGTTACAAAAGGTCTTCCTTTCATATTGTTTCAGGATTTCAAAAATGGTCTCAACATCCGTCAATCTCTCCATTCAAATGCGGGGAAATATTAGAATATGTCTATTTTCATTTTATGTATCATATTCATTAGACTTTAATTATGTTGATTAATTATTAACTATATTTATTAGCTTTTCTTATTATCCATATATGATTTGACAAGAGTTGTATATAATTCACAAATCATATCAATGAAAAGCCGGAAATTATTTTCTTACATTTTGAACAGTTAAGGAATTAATATGGAATTTTTAGAATTAAGAGTCAAAATAAATCACAAGGTTAACATACAGGACTAAAAAGAATATTAACCATAACCTTATTTTTAACTAAGTGAAATACATACCATTTCTTGATAGTCTTTTGCATCGTTAGGTACCTAATTTATTTTAATTTTTACATGTGTCAACATGTTATAGATAGATAAGTTTAATCACGGTTGATATAATAATGCATTGTGGCAGATTTTGTACAGAAAGCTATAAAATAGGAGACAAAAGGCGGGGAAAGGTACTCTAACTTTCTGCAAATCTCACTCATTTGATTAATCAAACGGATAATTTCTCCTTTGTAATGTTTCCAAATATTAATAATTCATATGTTCACTACTTGGTGTAAAGATCTTAAATGTGCCTCTTTTATTCTCAAACTGTTCCACTCAAGGTCAATGACAATTGTCAGTTTAAAGGCGGGTGGCAAATCGACGAAGGGTGATGTTCGACATAGGGAGGCTGTTAGATAATGTGTTGATTGAAAAGAGTTAATCTAACAAACATTTTATGAGATCTCATTTATCTATAATAGTTTAATTGTGAAAAATTTGAGATTTTATACGGTAGTACACTTTGCACGCCTTCAAGACCTTAACCTCAAATGTTTTTGTTTGTTTTAGGCATGTTGTAAGTTTTGACATCAGAACTCAACGTGTAGTTCCTTCAAACCCTTTATTAAAGGATGAACTTGTTGGTATTTAGTGAATGGTAGTTTATTATTATTCTAACTTATTTACATATTGTTCACCTTGTAGATAATGAATGAATAATATTCTCAAACGATGACTTATATAATGTGCTTCTATGTTAGACAACTTGTTTTCTTGAGACTTATGGGAGTTAATATATCTTAGTGTAAGTTTTATGAGTTGTTGGATGACTTAGTCAGTTTGATGTGATTTTGTGCATGGAATTTGATGGTTTGTTTTGTATTGTGTATTTGAATTAGGAATGTTCATAGTTTATTAATAATTTGCTTCAGTTTTTAATAACCACTTAAAAAAAAATAGTTA